GCAAAAAAATTGACAAATAAAATGCTTTGCATCTTTTAAAATATATTTTAGAAATTCGTAAATCCTGATTCACCACGTGAAAATATTTTTTTTAATCGTAGATAAAGCTTACTGATTCAAACGGCGAACAATTTATTTATAAAGCAATAGCTATTATTATTATTAGCCGGTACAGTAACATAATTACTGTAGTCAAAGTAGAATCGAACCAATATATTACCTACAATGATCATCTTTACATGGACTCTTTACCTCTATCAAATTGCAAACTGGCCGATCTGTTAGTCACATCGATGAGTGTGATAGCTTTTTATAGTCGAGTATGTATCAATATTCATTATTATAGCTTGGCTTTGACATAAAACATTTTCGATCACTTTTTTTTCTAGAATCATATAACATTACCATAATCATCAATGCAAATAATTTCCAGAGACATTGTAGGTGGTACTCAACGAACAACGGTGCGTAATGGTGATAAAGTCTTCTTAGTAAGTAATTTTCTATTTTCTAACAATTTTTAAATACTTCTTCGCGTCTAACTCATATTAATAGGTTACATGTGGTGAACAAAACAGCTAATGTTCGGTAATATTTTTCTTTTTATCTTAAGTCGTTTATTTCTTCACTTTTCATAGTATTTTGTGTCGTTTATTTCTTTATTTTTTTTTAATTGTATTGTTTATTCCGTAATTTCTCTTTTTTATGTCTTATATTTGTCTATTCATTGTATATTTTTATTGTATATTTTTGATTGATATTTTTACTATATGATTATACAAATAGATAGCGAACTTAAAACTTTCTATATCTTATTATGAATCAACTGCCGAATGTACGATGAGAGTTAGAGAACTTTAAAATTTAACTTAGTTTGAAATACCAGATTCTATTACAAATCGATTTATTCAACGAAGACAGCTATTGTGTATCTCCAATAATGAGTTTTTAGAGTACGAAATCAAACTCAATCGAAGTTTTACTGATAACCAAGATGAAAAGTGAATGCTAGGGAGATGATCGGAAAAGATATATGAAAGAGAAGATATTATACAAAGCAACAAATAAGCTCGGACAGTGTTTTATTAATTAAATGGGCGTAACTGACAAGCGTAATATGTATACATCTGATCGTACAAATATAGATTCAATCGTGTGCGACATCTTTCGGAAATTAGATACTATTATCAGTCAAACGAGTAAAATATGGACTATGGATTCAACTTTGGTTCACTTCTGACGACCTTTTCTAAATTAATTCCCTGACTATTTCTATATTATTCATCATCACTGAATAAGATAGTTTCTATTTGCTATGCATAAATCACCAATTCAATTTCAACTTGCTCTGCCTCTATAATGGTATCCATGTTTTCCCTTAATTCGTTAGTTTTCCTTAAACGGTGACCTCATATGCATGATCACGTGCAGTGTTTTTAACGTTAAAAACCAGAAGCTAACTACTCAAGGTATCAACGATTTTAGAAAAATGACTTATTATATACTTAACAAAAAAAAATATTCTTCTTAAATAATGCTTCATAAGAAAAAAAATACTTTGTTATCCATGAAAAACATAATTTATGTACATGTTTTTTTTGTTATTTGTTGTATGAATATATTCATCAGAGAAATATTTCCTGAAATTTTTTAGAACTCGCATTATCCTTCGAAGAAAATAGTAAGCGAGAGCTCTGAATTAAAATTTAAAATAATCTCATATTCAATGTTATTATAATAAATAAATAACTTGAAATAATATTTTTCTGTTATGGTTTTGATTATTAACACATGAATTCTAACACGAAAAACATATGAACTGGTTCGAAACTTTTTATTTCGTGTTGATCTAATAAAAAATACACCACTCGAAAGAGCGCGAAAAACTGTGTTTAGTGATCTAGTCTTCATGAAAAGGTACTCCCAAGTCCCCAGCAAACATTTTTAAAACACATTTCTTAGTAACCTCTATCATAATGCTTGGTTCTCTTGCTATTTTTTTTCTGCACATATGTGTTCACAAATAGAATCATTCGCATGTGATATCGAAAGAAACTAAAACTTCAATCATTATATTTCTTTTTCAACATTAATTTAATTAATAAAAACAGATTTAGAAAGAATATTCTTTAAGTAAACGAATACGATTAAAAGAGAAATGAAAATGTCTTTTCCAATACAGGTTATGTTTAGTTTTACAAACACGTAAATAATTTTGTTTTTATTTAAAACGATTTTTGTCTAATGATCTTGTTTTAAATCCATCTATTGGTCTATTTTAATTTTCTTGTTCGAATCTGTTTATTTCGATATCATATGAAAAAATATAGAACAATTTATTAACATAGTTTATATATATATAGCTCACACCAGCGACGGTTGATTTGTGAAGAAGGAAAATACTACGATATCAAATTGGAATTATGAGAACTTTTTGTTTTTAATTTGTTGCGTACCTTAGGTAAAGTCTCCTGAAAATCAATCAAAATCTGAATTAATAACAATTAATTGAAAATAATAATATAGATATATTCTTAAAGCAGTTGAGATAATGATGAAAAAGACATTAAACAAATCAAGTCCTGCTAAGCTAATGAACAAACATGTTGTTGCTTTCTTTTCGATAGTGAATATAGAGCTCGGCAAGCTGGAGTGGCATATTTTTTGTATTTTCAGCTTCTGAAAGAAACTCCTCGAGTAATTCATAGAAGCTAATATTGTCGTTTTTTCTTTGTACATCCGCTCATTTAAAACGTGTTTTAATTTATTAAAAAAATCAATCAAAATGAAAATTAAAAAAAAACATAAAATACTTTTGTTGTTAACCGATGTTTATTTATATCGTTCGCAGTTTTTTTCTTATTTTTTGTTCTCGTAAATATATAAGACATGCATCTTTATACTTGCTATATTAAAATATATCTTCATAATCCAAGAGAAAAAGCTTTTTTGTTTTTATTCAATTGAGAAGAGTTTAAATCAAAATAATTAAAATCAAATTGAATAAATTTCTATTAAATCAAATTAAGATTACGCTGGATATGTTTTCGTATATGGCCAACAATAGATGGATTTAAAACAAGATCATTAGACAAAAATCGTTTTAAATAAAGAAAAATTATTTACGTGTTTGTAAAACTAAACATAACCTGTATGGGAAAAGATATTTTCATTTCTCTTTTAATCGTATTCGTTTACTTAAAGAATATTCTTTCTAAATCTGTTTTTATTAATTAAATTAATGTTGAAAAAGAAATATAATGATTGAAGTTTTAGTTTCTTTCGATATTACATGCGAATGATTCTATTTGTGAACACATATGTGCAGAAAAAAATAGCGAGAGAACGAAGCATTATGATAGAGGTTACTAAGAAATGTGTTTTAAAAATGTTTGCTGGGGACTTGGGTGTACCTTTTCATGAAGACTAGATCACTAAACACAGTTTTTCGCGCTCTTTCGAGTGGTGTATTTTGTGAAACACGATCTGAAAGGAGTGTTGAAGTGTTTAGGGGCAGAAATTTGCACCCACCCCCTCCCCCACAGACCGTGACAGAGAAAATCCATATCCATCATAGACCGTGACAGAGAATCCAGGTACCCATCACAGACCGTGACAGAGAATCCAGGTACTCATCACAGGTCGTGACACAGAAACTGTAGTTGTAAAGCATTAGATAAACGGTTAGCTACAACTGTACCGCAACATAGTTGAACGAAAGGATTTCCATTCAATTAGTAATAGTGGAGCCATCGTGTTTCACATTTTTAATCCCGTAATGGATTGCGCTAACAGCTTTTTTATTAGATGAACACGAAATACAAAATTTCGAACCAGTTCATGTGTTCAAAAGAATACTCCTCGTTTAACAGATCCAAAATCACATTATATCTTTTCAAGAAAGTATCGAGAATATGCAAGATCATTAGAATGAATATCATATTTACATTTTCTCTATTAAAACCAGACTTTTATAATAAAGTGATTGACTGAAAAAATATACATTTCTAATGTATTGAATATGTTGAGCATAATATAAACGAATAGATACTTCAAGAATCGCTAACTGAATTTCAGTCAATAATAGACTAGAAGACAAATCTTCTTCAATAAAAGAATGATATTCTATTGGAACTTTTCAAGCACTTCTCTAAAATTTTTCTGAATATTATGTTTAGATAAATACATGCTCAACCAATTCCTTCAATGGATGAACATCCACAATCTAATCGTAACGATATTGCAATCGACGTTAACGATCGACAATTACAAGTAAGCCAAAAAATTCATATTATAGTTTCAAAATTTTCAGATACACAAAATTAAAGTGAAAGCAGTAAGAGATTTATCGATCTAGCTTATAGTATGACTATAAGTAGACCTCAACGAGGCTGTATGCTGTGAAACACAAAGCTGCTTCTTAATCTTTTTATGAGTCATGAAAAATTCGTTAAATTAGATTTTGTTAAAAACAAAAGTTTTTTGGAGAGGAATTCGTTCACATACATGACCTCTGTAGTATCTAAGATAGCTGTCAAGTTCAAATATTTCAATATAAAACTGAACATATCTCTTTTGACAAATAATGATTTATTCATAGTAGAATACTTGTGTATGAAAACAAATCGATCAAAAAAAATTCTTCTATGTCATTGTTGAAAATATTTTGACTTTTATTGTAGGATCCATTCTTATCGAATGCAGAATCTCGGTTTAATTCGAATACTCATCCATCTGCTGAATTATTAAATGAGCTAGTCATGTTTCATAGAAACAGCAAACGTAATCAGTGGATATGTTTTCTGATTATATTTACTATTGGTGTGGTAGTTACCCAAATACTAACCGCAATCCCATATTCTGGATCTAAATGCAAGAATGGTATTCGAAAATGCCCAGAAAATAAGCCCATCACATTTGCAGCTGGTTTATTTCCTCTCATATCAATTGGTTGTGTCTTGCTTATTGCTCTATGTTTATGGTGCTTCCAACTGCGCAGAATGTTTGACAAATTCAAGCATATTGAAAATCAAGCAAAAACGATTTTTTGGCGATTAGACGGAGAAGAATGGACACGCTTTTTGGATTATATACATGGTCCTGATCGACAATGGACATATTTACCTGCTTTATCATGGTTCTGTTGTCGACGAAGATCTTATGAACGATTAATGAATCGTCAATATGGTCATATTATTTTATGCGAACATGGTTTCATCATTGACGAATTACATTTTATTTCGTTTCGATCATTTACTTTAGAAAGCATAGAGGTACAAAATTTCGGACAAGATTCATCAATATTAGGCTTAAGACTTCATGGTCGCTTGACGGCTGGCAAGAGTACTCGAAGTATTGACTTTGACTTATTTGCACCATCATGCATCAGACGAGAACAATTACATGCAATTGCTGAACAATACAAGAGCAAGATACCTGTATCAAAGGTCTGATATACAAGTTCAGAATGACATCAACTTGCTACCTTACCACTATAACCAGTTTATTAACATTACTTACACAGTCATTTCCATTATAAAAATAGCTTTGATTATTTAGTTTTAGATTCTTTAACATTGAATATTATCTAAACTCTTTTAAATGTCTATTTTTTTGAATAAAAATAAACAACTATTTATCAGATAACACAAGGATAGTTTGTGATTTGAACGAAAATAAAATCCTTTTCGTAAAGTTCTTTTCAGATAATATGTACTCCTAATTAAGTGAGAAGACCGAATTTTCGTTTTGATATAGGTTTATTACCTCCAGCACTTTGCTCCTAAATCCGCTACTAGAAACATACAAGTAACGTTCATCGTCAAGCGATTCACTTAGCCCTAGACTTAGTGGTGTAACTAGAACAGTGGCGACTCGCTGACGGTGCCCGGGCAGTAGAAGGTGGCGCCATTCTTTTTTTGCTTCTAACCCTTTAACTAAATGTTATGAAGGCCTGAACTTTTTATCATAAATCTAGCATTAGCATGTAGTACATCTGGTAAAAATTTCAGGTCCTTATAGCATTTAGTTAGAAAGTTAGAAGCTAAAAAAGAATGGCGCCACCTTCTACTGCCCGGGCACCGCCAGCGAGTCGCCACTGTTCTAGTTACGCCACTACCTAGACTGATAGAATACATGTACGGATGCAATAGCATAAAAAGCTACATTAAAAAAGTAATACGCAAAATTGATAATATAACTAGTATATCTTAGGCTAGCAGAAAACTTAATTTGGAGAATTCTCACTCTAAGTAAAGATAATGCATTTTACAAATTTAATTTTTTTTGTCGTTTTTGTTTTATTTTTTTTTTGCTTTTATAAATATAAATAGCGCTCAATAAGATTAGACAAGAATACGATTTTTTTTTGTAATTATATTGGCGCTATTTGTACGTACAAAAATATGAATTATATTATTCATAAAATTTGAGTTTTATTAATCAATATTTTATGCTTAAATTCGCGCATTAATTCTAAACTATTAATAAATTAGATATTCATTGATACAACATTGCACAATCAATCCTACAATAATGAATAATTTAAACGATTTCTTTAAATCCATACTGCTCATTTGGTCTGACTCTGACTAATTAAATGCTTTTCTAAGCCGTTTTACACCACTACCCGAATTATAGTTATTTCATTGACACATTTTATCGATGATTATTATGGGTTCAATTACAACAGTCTTTAGATGGTCATTTGAGCCATAGTTACCGGAATAGTTGTTTGTACCATGGTTGCTATATGGTCACCTGTGCCATAGTTACCAGAATAGTTGTTTGTACCATGGTTGCTATATGATCATCTGTGCCATAGTTACCGGAATAGTTGTTTGTACCATGGTTGCTATATGGTCATCTGTGCCATAGTTACGTGGTCGTTTGTACCAAAAAAATGATCGTTTGTGCCATAGTTACATGCTCATTTGTACCATAGTTACCTAGTTAATTTTAGTAAAAAAATGGCTGTTTGTGCCAAAAAAATGGTCACATGTGCCAAAAAAATGGCCATTTTGACCGCATTACCGACAGACAGACGGACAGACACACAAACACAGGTGAATTTAGGTTTCTAGACCCTAGCCTTTCAGTCTAGGGAAAATGAAGAGTAGAACAAAACTAATATATCAAACTGTAAGATTAATATATTCATTTTATTTGAATCAAATAGAAACAGATCGACCTATCTATTAACGAAAATACAAGTTCAATCTGCTATTCTCAACTTCTGCTTTTCAGCAATTGATTATAAGTCGAAAATTTCAATAGGATAATTATATATGCTTGAAATAAAATAATTAAATAAATGCAGGGTTAATTTCGTCGACGCGTTTCGTGTTATTTATTGGAATATTGAAACACTTTTCAGGGCTCTGCATTTTATAATATAAGCATAAAGGAGAAAATTAAACAGAAATTGAAGAGATTAAAGAAGAAAATGATAAATATGTTAGAAAAAAGTTTTTGAAGAATATGATAGAAAAACAAAAATTAACCATTGGCAGCAGAAGTTCGCGAATTCTATGGTGCCCGGACAATTCGTTGCAGGACAATTCGTTGCAAGACAATTCGTTGCAAGACTATTCGTTGCAATGACACAAGTCAATCAAATTAGAATGTATTTTTCAAAAATGGAACAACTTATTTAATTAAGTTTGAAACATGTAATTCAATAACCATAAAAGTTATTAGAAATATTACTAATGACTAGACTTCGATTTTTGATTTCAGGATGTCCACTATAAAGAATCCTAGTAAGACAAAAAATCAGATTCGTTTCCTACTCCATAATTAATGTCAATAGGATGTAAAAAACCTTCGATTACGAGGTATCATCAAAACTATTCCCGGCATTGCATAACTCAATGATTCAATCAGACTAGTTTCGTTTTAAATATATAAAATAACACGTGATGCTCTCTAAAATAGCAGAATTTGTGCGTCCAACGTGAAGATTTAAAAATAGAAATTCATTAAGAGCTTTTTTTGTAATGACGCCGATGCTGCTCTGCTTCAGTGAACGCTAAATTTTGTTAGTCTTTTCAAGGTATTTTCTCATTGTCAGCAGCCTTGAGCTGCAGCATAAATTAAAAAAAATGTGCACTACTCCTTCCACTGGTATAGGAAAACTTTCATTACTTGTATAGCTCGAACAAACTAAACTTTTATCAGCACAAAAAGGCTAATGTACTGTTCGAGATCAAAAATTCAAATTTAGTCATTAGTAATATTGTTAATAATTTTTATAGTCATTGAATTACATGTTTCAGCTTAATTGAATAAGTTGCATCATTGTTGAAAAATAGATACTAATTTTGATTGGCTTAGGTCATTGCAACGAATCGTCCATGCGACGAATTGTTCTGCAATGAATTGTCCTGCAACAAATTGTCTTAGTACCGAATTCTATATACAATTTTCATCCTAGGAGGTTGAATGTTGAAATATTGGCTAACTAATGGTGCTCTATTGAATTGGACGAAGGTTAATGTTTTCTTCAATTGCATAAAATATAATTTTTGATACAAAGTATTGTATGTATTATTTAAATTTAATTGTAATCGTAATTGTAATATATATTTTGCTATATAATGGTCATATTTTTGTATAAAAGTCAATATGGCCTGATTCAAATATTACAGTTAACGGAAATAGACTTTGAGCCATTTTTATGCTGACAGCTTAAAAAACGACATTTACGGATATAATATTCACAGATAATAGCTAGATTCTATTTAAAGAATAAATTTTTAAATTTGAAGAAAAGTCTTATTTTGCAACTGAATAATTTGCGATATTTAAAATATATCAATGTTATTCAATATTATTAATAATTAAGCTGTTATTTAATGTATGAGTTCTATAATGGTAAATAGTTTATAGAATTTTTCAATTTTATTATGTATATATCGGTTTCCTTGTGCGGGTCCCAATGACCTTAAATATATAATTAATAAGTATTACCATAGTGATCATAATAAGCCAAAATTATTACAGCATAATTTATCTGGTTAAAGTGATTTGCATGCTAAAAAGTCGTTTATATGTTCTTAAAAATCGCAATGTGTTTGACAAGTGGAATTGGTTTTTTAACTATATAGCCATATTTTACTACCAGGTATACATTAAATTCAGATAATGGCTATGAACCAATTACGACAATAATATAATGTTTTTTATCGAGTGTGCACTAATCGCCGTGGTAAGTTATTAACATTACGTGTTCCAAGAATGGGGATAATTTCATTTATCGGAGACTCTCCAAAATGTTTAGACGACAGTGAATGAAATTTATGTGGAAATGTTCGCATATTTACACAGTATGTAAAATGAACGAATATTGTTTTTGCATAATCTACTGGGGCTTTTTCTTTTGTACGAGAATTGATAATTTTTTGACGATTTCCTTGATCATTTTCTAAAACTAATGACTCATCAATTTTGAATTTTAACAGAACATTTTTAAGTTGTTCATCAATAATTTTATTTGAATATTTATTTAATAGTAATGACACTCGTAATCGTTCATGTTCTTTTAAGTAAGATTCAAACGTGGAACAGTATCGAATAGCGCGAAGGAGCATTGTAAGAATTATATTTTTTTTCATATGTAATGGGTGAATACTATTAAATGGTAAATAATATGATTCATAGGACGATTTTTGGTAACTAGTAGTAAATAAATGACCATCTCGATTTTCTATATGTAAGTCGAGAAAATCAGCTGTTGAACCTATATCTTCAGATAATTTAATATTCTCATCAAAATGATTGCATCTGTCGATTTGTTTAAATAAATGACGGGCAAGCCAAATTATTGCTAAAAATCAGACATTGGACAAGTACAAGAACAGCAAGTAAAAGTACAAATACTTTTTACTTGCCATCTGGACTTGGAACTTTTACTTAAGTACAATTTACTTAAGTACATCTGGACTTGGTACTGGTACTGAGTACAAATGTACTTGAGTACCGGTACTCAGTACAATGTACTTGCATGCAGATACTCAATACTACTGTCTGTTTAAAAATATAGTGGACCCAGATATTTTTGAAATAACTCGAGAACAAAAAGAGACAGACAGCTGCGGTTTTCACTGTTATCTAGATATATGAGTATTCTATATATTTACTAAGACATGCTGAAAGTCCTTGCAGATTTAGGGCTTCATCAGCGTCAATCTTTCAAAGAATACATAGCAGTTTTCTAATGTCTC